GAAACGATTTTTCTTCTTCCTCGAATTTAGAACGAATAAAAGAAAAAATTCTTCTTGCAAGAAATGCGTGAGGCGTGTAAGCTCTAATACGGTCGGCAACAGAAGTGAAGGATGCTTTTTTTTTTCTAGCGGCGATAGTACACAACCTGTGATTCATCAGCAACAGTTTTGCTGTCGCCTGCTACTTGTCCATGGCCCGACGAGAGCTGCAAGTTTTTCTCTCGCTGGTTGTTGCCATGCCGCAGTTGAGTTCGGCTCACAGTGAAGAGTTTATTTCGGCTACGCCATTGCTTTGCTTCATCGTGCCGTCCTTCACATGGCGGGCTTTCGCCCAATAGTTCGGGGACGGGATGCCCCGCGGCAATAAGGGGATTGGTGACGGTTGCGCGTGATTCCAGGTTCCGAAGCTCATCGTCTAGCTGCTCGTCGAAGGTTTCATAATAATAAGTACTGTTTTCCGGCAACGGAGGTGGAGGAGTAGGCTCCATAACAGCCCCCTCCTCCACGGAGACCAGGCGCTTCTTTTGCGGAGGTCCCATATCCAGCGAGAGCACCCCTGACTCAATGCCTCGGCTCCCAGACGACGAAGCACGCTTTCGGCGCTTACTACGTGTTTCCCCGCTCGACGTTGTCGTCCCACCTTCCCGAATTACCTGCGAAGAGTTACTAAGCGCAGCGGCCTCTTCCATTCCGTCTCCGATTTCAGGCGGAGCAGCAAGCGATGTGGACGCCATACTCGGTAAATCTGCGGTTGCGGTTGCGGTTACCACACCGCCTGAGTCTGCGGTCGACTGGTGTTGCCATGCGGCTAATGCTAACGAGGCCCTAATGGCGAAGGGCAACTTTACCCACAATCGATCCACATGCACCAGCGGAGGCGGAGGTGGATCCCGCAGCGGCGAGTAGAGTGTCCGGCAGACAGGCAAGCAGGAAGCATGGCTACGTTCCTCCTGCGGCACCACAACCGGCACCTTCACCGCATCATTGACGCACACAAGGACGAGGACAACCTGCATCCAAACCTGATGCGCGACGCCCACGCTATCGCCAACCCGGAGCGTGGTGGACTCATTGCAGTGAAGAAGAATGCGACTTTCTCCAGTCGGCTGGCTACTGGAATTTGCACTGGCGGCGCGTCGCGCCACGGTAATCGTGTTCTTTCCAGTACACTTTAATGTCAAGCGCTGGGCCACATGTGGGTGGACGCGGGCGGCCGGGGGGACTTCCTCCGGTGTTGTTGCCTCCTCCACCCAGAACGACATCATCCGCCGTGAAAAGCGGGGGTTGTTGCCAAGCCGCCAATAAAGCTCTGGTGAGTGACGACCCAAACACTTCACAGCGCCGCGGCGCCCGCCGGAGTGAGAAGCGGGCGACGGCGGTATTTCTACGTAAGGGGGCCCAGCCGAAGGATTACTGCAGTGCACCAAAAAACAGCGAAGCTCCATCTCTCCAGCTTCTCTAAACGCCCAAAGAAAGAGTAAGAGAGGGGGGAAAGAGAGAGTAAGCGTAATCTCGCGAGAAGCAAAACAAAAATAGAAAGATAAAAAAGAAACATGTCGGGCAAGAGGTACGAACGATTCACACAAGAGCGACTTCCTTCCTCCCCACACACCCCCAACCCCGCTTCCCCGGAAACACAGACACAGACACAGACACAGACCGAGTGAGAGATACAGAAACAAACACCAAGGAATGATTGAAGGACTGTCATCAAGACTTCTAATGCGTCGTGACAGCTTTCACGGTTTCTAGCCATTGCTGGACAGACGTCATGAAAGGCCGGGTGACGCTTGCCAAGGCGTACTCGTTCACGTGCCCTATTTCAACGCACACGTGCATGATGATTAGGTTATTGCGTGAGCAAACGCCAACGCCACCACCGGCCATCTCACGGCCCAGTAAAGCTCCCTCGAGCAACATTTCAAACAGCTGCAAGCGATCTTCGGTGTTTGATGGCAGCGAGTTTGCAATGACGGCATACATAAATAGACGCTCGGTCGCGCTATCCAGCGTGATGAGGATACTCGCTTCATCTCCCAAGGGTACAACGCACGTGTCATTGTCGTCTAAGTGTAATTGAGGAATATTAAGCTCTAGTGAGAGTTGGTTCAGGCTGCATTCAACCTTTTCCGCAAGAGACATAGCTCCCGGATGGCGTTGCTGAGATTGCTGCGCCAGCAACGCCTCCTGTTCGAGAAGCCTCTTCTGCTGAGAGCGGATCTGGCCCTCTAAGCTGCGCCCCAGCGCACCTTGCTCATTCTCAAAGGATGTTTGCTCCCGCCGCAGCTTACGCCGTTCCTCACGCAGGAGGTCAATTTCTTTGACCAGTTCATCCTCTTTGGCTCGCCAATTTTCCTCCGCAGACTGCTTGGCGGCCTCCTTCTCCTGCAGCAACTGCGCAATGGTGCTTTTCAACTCGTCAATTTCCTCCTGCAACCGCCAGTCTGACGTGGCATTGGCAAGTCGACGCTCCAGCTGCACGAGGCAGCTTTCCAGCCGAGCATTCTCGAGTTCTAATCTACGATACTCGTAGTCCATGTGTTTGCCGCCGTAATTCTTGAACTTCGGTGGCGGGCTCTTTGAATTCTCCCCATCTTTCAAGTCGTCGCGACGACGACTGCATTGAAGCGGCGTCGGCATCCCTGCTGATGGGAAGTCGTATGAAAAAGCGTCAACCACCGATGACCCTCCACGACGCGCCGCACTTCCCTCCGAGCGCGAACGACTTTGCGGCCGGTTGACACGACCGCCACCTCCATCTCCACCGCCGGCGGCCGCAGCGCCAGTGTTGGCCCGCCGCAGCTGCAGCACAGCTCCATCCACGAGACCCACGTCACCGCCGCACTCATCGTCCTGCAGTATCCTCCCCTCAAAGGAAAGTTCTTGATGCTGGGGGCCTAGGCCTGTGGCATTCTGCAAATACCGTTTCGCCTTCGTGGTCGTCAAGAGCCGCACATCCCCTTCCATCACAAGTTTGTACTTAAACCCGTCAATGTCGGAGAGGACGTAAACGCATTGAACACTGCGTTCTTCTCCGCCAGTCATGTTTATTCTTTTTGTTGGCCCTCCACGCACACGCGAGGAACCCGGCACGGAAACAGACTTCCACAAACGACTAAGTGAGAAGGAAAAGGGAAGACAGAGGGCAGAATAGAAAAGAAAACAGGAAAAAATAAAAATAAAGTAAAATAAAGTGTCACGTGTTATAATGCAAGGCTCAGCCTCTTTCTCCCCTTTCCAATGCGCGTGCTTCGGAGCATTTTTGACCTTTTTTTTTTGATAGCCAGAGTGATGCTCACAAGAAACATTTTCAAGCGGGAGCCCGCAATGAGCCTCCTCCGTCGCTTATCCGGCGAGGCAGAGAGGAAACCAAAGCAAAAGCAAAAAAAAAAATAAATGCTCGCACTTTCGCACGTAGACATCAATTTTACACCACAAAATGCCGCAGCATCTCCATTTGATACTCCGTCCGTGCCCTCACGTGCCCCCTCAACAGGTCAGTGAAGCGTGGGACAGCCTCCACTGCGTCGCGGACGGCGTCGTGGGAGTCGGGTGGGTAATTCATCGAAAACCCCCATCGTTCGTCGTATTCGGCTTCGCACTGCCGCAGCATAAACCGCGTCCCCATGCACAACTGCAGGCCTACGACGTTACTCGCCGACCCCTTCACCAGCATTGCAATCTGTCGGAAGTTTAGTTTTTCCTCCACACGTCGGTTTTCCACTTGCGTCGCAACCAGCAGACTCAGCATGGGTTTTTTCGGGGAGTTGCGCCGGGCACTGCCGCCTCGAGGGGTGGTCATCGAGCTGCGCTTCGCTGCTGCACGATCACCCTTCAAGAATGTGTAGAGTGATTCGTCAATAAATCCCAACGAGGCGGAGAAGTAGCCAGGGGCAATAAAGGTGTGGATTCGACTATACATTTGGGTAAGAAAATCGTCTTTCCACTCCTTCTGCAGCTTCACACTTGGAATCCACGAGGTCTCAACATCTGTAAGGAGCTGTAGAACGCGCTGCAGACGTTTTTTTATTGTCTCGTCTCGTTCGAGCAGCCCCTTGCGTCGTTGGGGAAACGGCAGGAGAAAGACGGCACTAAGGTCCCGTTCAATGCTGTTAAGCAGTCCCTCAATCTTCTGCTCCGACAAGCTCCGTAGGTCTAAAAACGCCTCATACGAGTCGGACATCAATTCAAGCGCAAAGGCAGAAGCAACAAACTGATCAATCTTCCCCAACCACCGCACACAACGCGCGAGCAGTTCTTCTCGGAGTTTTGCATCCTCTTCATTTTCCACCAGAACGGAGTTTATAAATGTCATGGTGTATTGCAGCATCCACTCCGTTGCGTACAAGGTGGTCACTAGCGTCAAGGTGAGTGGAGTCACGTATTCGCGCACGTACGCCATGACAGCCTCTGCCCCGTGAAGCGGCTCAGGGTCGTCTGCTTGCATGGGAAGCGTCACTTGAATTTGTGCGTCACCCTCTTCCAGCACACTAAGCGCCATCGAGAGAGACTCCAACACCGTCTCAAACGTAAATGGAGCGCATCCGCGAGCAATATACTCTTCCGCGACTTTAAGATTATCCTCCAACTGACGCCGAATCTCCACCAAATTGTGCACCTCCACCTCAGCCTTTGTAAACTGGTTCATGACGCTTGACGGGGAAGTGCTCAGGAGCGCCAAGTCAGGCGGAGGGACAATTCCTCCGAGCAACTTTTCGCCCGCGCCACCTCGTTCCCCAATTTCCTCCGGTACGGCTGGCCCAGCCGTCACCGCCGCCGCGGTTGACGTCACCTCGTTGGGCAGAAGCAGCACCGTTTGCGGTTGGTACACGCCGTCCTGCACAGTTCGTTTCGCCGCACTCCCAAGACCACTTCCTAACATCAACTGTTTCACGTAGCGTTGCTGCCGCTCGCGCTGCCGAGAGCGGAATGCCTCGTGGATGCCGGCCTCTGCCTCCTTGCGGTTGTAGCCACCTTTGAAGTCGCCAAAGGCGGCGTAAAACGGGGTACCAACAGGCGTTTGATCCATCCCTTTTTGACTTGATGCAGCCCAGCTAGATATATATATATATATATATATATGCACACACGCCTTACTAGAAAGAGCCGGCAATCTGGAACCTCAATGAGAGCAAACGCGCCAAGATTTGGAGGGGAAAACAAACAGAAAAAAGGACACATAAATCCCGGGAGACATGCATACGCAACACACCCGCAACAAAACACATCAACGGCAACCAAACTTTATGGGGATGGAGCAATGCATCCCTACTCTCTCTCACTCGTTTCCCCCCGCGACCCACCGTACAGCTTCTGGCCACGCAGAGAGGAGTCTTTCTTGTTTACTCGTCTTCCCAGGGCGTGCTCTGCCCCAGTCAGACACTCAGATCTTTCGTTAGCATCATCCACAGTATGATGCCCAGGAAGATCACAAGAAGCACAGGGCTGAGAGAGCCCCACTGGTACCCAGCGTGAAGGGTGTTCTGAAAGTAAAATGTGAGGATGAAAACATCGTCGCCGCGCCGCAACGTCTTTGCGGCGTTCTGCGGGGTGAGCCAAATCTTGCAACCCATTTTGCGTAGCCTCCAACTCAACACGCCCCCACCGCTGCGGCAGTTGGGGCTAGCTACCATTTTGAGGGGAGATGAAAACAGCGTACGACAGACAATTTTATCCGGCAAGCGTGGTGCACATACGAACGGGTACACAATCCGCAACGTGTGGGGCCCACACCACGTCATTTCTTTTGAAATCCATCGAATCTCCACAAGTATTTCCGCTCCCACTTCTGCCGCCTTCTCGTCAATCACGTCGGATGCATGGGGCGTAATGCTGTAGGTTGTCACGAGATGAGTGCGGTGTTTAGCTGTGGAAGCTTCATCAGGCATGTATGTCGCCGCCACTACTTGCAGTAATTGTCCGGATGCATCTGTTTCTGTCCGCACCAGCTGTCCCACCACGGCTCTCTTATTGATGCGCGCCAAAAGTGACGTCAGGGCCGCACCGCAACCACTGACAGGAAAAATGAGAGCAAAACGTCTCTCCGAGGCGTCCCCAACACGATATTTCGATATCAGGTGGTACATGACTGTTTTTTCCGTCATTTGGATTCGCAACCGGCACGATGTGCAGCGCAGCGGTTTGCCGAGCGACTGGGCCCATGCTGTGAGCTTCTCGGCCGAGGTCATCTCAACCGTCGCAGCGGTGCTGCACGCGGGAGACGATTCCGCCCCATTGTCAAACGCGTAAAGGCCCGTCATGACTTGGTCCCGCCATCGCCACTTCGACCCAGGCGGCCGCGGGGGTTTTGCTTGCCCACCATAGCCGAACATTACCACCGCCTCTTCCTCCCCCTTTTTCCTTCCTTTCGCGTGTGGGCCAGCAGCACCGCGTTCGAGCGAGAGGAACGCCCGATTGATGCCCCCACACGCTACGGCGCAACCAGCCGACAATATCAGCGATCCCCTCCCCCAAAGTATATATATATATAACAGGAAGAAGAGGGCACAACCGAATAAAAAAAAATATCTCAGCGGATGGGAGAAAATAAGAAACATGATGACATGCGTGAGAAATATTTGGATAGCACGAAAAAAAAAAAATTGAACGCCACGACACTTCACATAATTTGCGGGGAAATGTTAACGCGACAATAAACGCGGATGCGGTGTAATGAAAGGGTGGAGGGAGCTTGCGGAGAAGGCCACTCACATCTTTGGTCGCACGCGCAGAGACACACAGTTAGACTCCGAGCCGCTGTAATCAACCGCGGCGACGAACCCAAATGTCCACCCCGACAAACCCGCGGGATTTTGAGGTGAGCCACAACCCTTCGCATCTCCCCATACCCACTTATATCATTTCTATTTCTCTCCACCAGCAGAAGAACGACTTTCGTCGTCGTCGTCGTCGTCGTCGCCCTCCTCTTCGGCTTCATTATCAGACGCGGATGCAGACGAGGACGAAGCTGAAGACGAGCCCGAGGAAGAAGAATGTGAGGACACCTTTGACTCCATCCGTGGCGCGTGGCACGTGACACACTCCGGCACAGTCATTGGCAGCAGGATGTTACAGTTGGGGCAGAACCACAACACCACGTCCAGCCGGTGCGTCGGCGGTGTCCATTGTACCTCATGTGTCTCACTATGACTATAAAAGACGTGCTGCGTGTTAGGGTCGTAGAACTCGTGCCACTCCTCGCTTTTGTGGTCGAACTCGCAGTCACGAGTGTCGTGAAGGCCTCCGCAGTCAGCACAGCGGTACTTTTTCACCGGGCATTGCGCCGATGGATGCCCTCGCTGGGCGCACTTCCAACACCCCTTCTTTCTGTCCATCAATGGGAATTCCTCGGGGTTCCGTCGTAGCCGGGGGCAGGCAACCGTCCAGTGATTCTTTGTGCATATGTGGCACGCGAAGGTCGCCGGGACGGCGGGGGGGTTAACTTCCCTCCTCTGCTTCTTGCGACGCCGTCTACCGCCGCGCTTCCGTCGCCTTGCCGTCTGCTTCGGCAGTGAAGGGCTGCGCTCCCGCTTCGCCATTGCCAACCGCTGGCGTACAAACACACAGCAGGTTTCCGTCAGCTACAGGAAAAAAAAGAGAGAGATAGAGAGAGAAGTAGGTCTAATTACAGAGAAGCGCACATATACATATACATTGTCCACGCACTGCAACCATACGCGCTCCCATCGAAACTCGCTCAATTATCGCGTGTTCCTCAATCCCCACATTTTTAACTGGACCTGCCCATAACAGCAGCAGCAGCAGCAGCAGCAACAACAACAAACAGCAGTGTAGCCCACCCACCCACAGAAGGAAACAAACAGAACACGTACATTCCCCGTCCTGACAGTCATCGATCCTACTATCACGATGGTGCATAATCACGCCCTTGGGTGAGGATAGCTTCTCCACCTTCGATGAGTTCACGTGTAAGGCGCTGCTGCATTTGCGCTACGGCAGAAGAAGTCATGTATTCCTCAGGAGCTGTAGCACATGAGAGTCGCCACATTTTCTCGGCTTCCAAGTTGTTCCCACAGACGGGGGCCATGGCCTGCAGTCGAACCTCCTCCCCAGACCGCAGGGGGCAGGAGGGGACAAGGTAGATCCACTTTCCATCTCTGTCACGCATAAAGTCATAGCCATGATGTTTACTAAAATACGCCGCGATGCGCTCCGTGGAGGCCGGTCGGCTCGTGCGGCAAACAAGAAAGGAATTCGTCTCCTTCCCACCATGTGGAAACAGGTGGACAATGGGTATCATGCCAATAGACCTCGTAGACGCAATGACAAGGGGTGTGGAGTGCGACAGAGAGACACTTACGGCCCATCGAAGCTCCGCACGGTCTAATTTGCCTACAAGCGGTCCCCCATTGATGTAGTTGCGAATCATCTGCAGCAACACATCCGCCAGTCCTGTTGCCTCGGGGTCTAAGACCACATCATCCTCAAAGTAGGGCGCATTTTTGAGCGTTCGCACCTTTCCAAGAAGTTCCGCAAAGACCCATCGAGGATCCGTGAGGGGGCTACTTTTCGCGGCCACAAGATCCGAAACAATCATACCGAGTGAGGCAAAGAAGAAACGACACACATCGGTGTCGGTCCCTTCGCCGGAGTTCAGTTCATTGAACTCCCTTTCCAATTTCTCATTCCTCAAGTTGTTCTCAAACTCCTCCTCGTTACTGATGTCCTTAAACCCAATAACAAGCTCCTCCGGGATGGCAAGCAGTGGGGTCAGCCGGTCAACGTCCTGCGAGACAGTGAAAACGTGATCACGGTACGAAGTTGGCTGCCTGCGCACGCACAATGCGGGATGAATAAAAACACGCTGGTCATGGCACCACATCATCAAGCGATAGTATTCGTGCGCATCAGAAAACTGGGAAAGCTCCCGTGCATAGTGAAGGTACAGACGCCTACGATGCATTGCATGAATGATCAAGTTGTTGTTGCCCTCTTCATCCCTTTGTGTGGGCCGCATAAGATTCTCACTGTTTACACGGTTGCACCCACCAAGAGCACACAAACACTGAACAACGGGCGTAACAATGTCAGCCTCACCTGGCGGGCCCTCATCCTGTGTCTGCTTCTGGTGTGCTCTCGCCCACAGGATCAAGGGGGATATCATCAACCTTGACAGCGTGGAAAAATCTCCGCCAGGGTCTTAAAAGCACGAGAAAGGAGAAAGACGCGATTCAACACCCATTCACCACCCAAAACTCATGTCAAGGGAGAGATAGAGATAGAGGGAGGGACACGCAGCATTTGCCCTAGTGGAAAAATTCGCACTTCCACACGCTTCCCCATCCCTTTCCTCGCCCCGCCCCAGTGGAAGGTTATGCCGTTGTGTTCGTTTACTCCCCCTCCGCCTGGAGCAGCTTGATGAGAGAGCAACCAACAACAACAGCAAATATGTTTATATATATATATATACGATGTAACTCCTTCCACCTCAACGTTATTGTGCCTTCCATTTACCCTTTTCATCTTCGTTAAAAACAATATGCCGGTGAAAACAACTAGATGGGTGCTTCCATCTCCTCTGCCAGATTCCTCACGGCACGATGAGAGACATCCACTACGGTATCAAACGTGTTTTGAACGCGAATGCACCACACTTAGCAGCGGCTTCCACCCCTCCAGCTTCATACTTGCCCGCGCCTTGTCAAAGGCCATCTCCAGTTCCTCTAGTTCTATTTCAGTGAGGCAACGGCGACCATTGGCTTCCTCGGCGTCCCTCGACAGGCGTGCGTGCGCATAGAATGCCTTAATGGGAAAATGCTTTACCAAGAGCCTACAGGCAGGTGCCGTCTCTATGATGCCACGCCGGAAATCCTCGTCCATGACACGTAAACAGTCGTCCACAACCACGTTTTGTTTTTCCTTCAAGCGCCGCACAATGTCACCGAGCATGGCCTCTCGCACTTGTGTTTCCCACGAAGGATCGTTTTTATCAGCGGCGACGTTTCCCTGAATCGAGTCTTCGCGCACAACAACAAAAGAACGGTCACAACGTTCCACGTACTGGTTAACCCACGTCGTCTTCCCGCTACCAGGAATGCCAAGAAGAAGAAGAAGAGTTGGGAGTGAATTATCCATCCTCCCCTCGCCATCGTGGCCCTTGTGTTTTCGCTTGGAACTACCATCTCTGCTGGCTCCGTGCCCCCGTGTGCGCCTGGGATGGCTGCCGCCCCAAAGGCCAGGGAATAACCGACGCATGAAATACAGGGCGAGAATATTTAACAAAATACAAAGAAGCGTGACGACAACTGCCCTGATCCCCAGAGGGCCTACACGCCACGTCATTAAACTTCGCATTGTATTCTTGCCAGCCATCTACACCCCGATAGACTTCGCCACTTTTTTTT